TGAAGGTTATCTCCAATTCAAAGTGGGGAGGGGATCAAACTACCCTCCTTCACTTATATAGATCATTGGTGCGATCTAAACATTATGGCTCCATCGTATATGGTGGAGCCTGCAAAAGCAACCTACAACTTTTAGATTCTGTCCACCACCAAGGTCTAAGACCTTGTCTTGGCTCTTTTAGAACATCACCTGTTGACAACCTCTACGTCGAGGCAGATGAGCCATCTCTTGCACAACGCCGTATCAAATTATCATTACAGTATATTACCAAACTGTACTGTAATAAATCTAACCCTACATATAACTGTGTCTACAATCCCCTTATGAGGATTTATACGACAAAAATTCTTGTCTTGCTCCGCCTCTTGGGCACAGAATTAAACCATTCATTTCTGTTGCCGGCATTGAGCTGGAAACTATAGCTCCTTCCCGTCTTCTTTCGTCTCCTCCTTGGCAATTGGTTAGGCCCGAAGTTGACCTAACATTGACCACATTTAAAAAATCAGAAACTAATGAATTACAGTATAAACAAGAATTTAGTCAATTATGAAATAAATATAATACATTTAAATCCTTATTTACAGATGGATCCAAGGATGGTGGCGATGTAGCTTGTGCTACTGTCATTGGATCCAGAACAATATCTTCTCGATTGCCTGATAACAGCTCTATTTCCATAGCAGAAGCTAACACCATATTAACAGCCTTAAAATATATTAATACACACCCTAAATATAAACAATGTATAATCTTTTCTGACTCTCTTTCTTGCCTTCAGGCGATTAAAAATCTTTCTTGCAAACATCCACTTTTAGAAATTATTGAATTGTATAATGATCTTGCTACTTCGTCCTCTGTTGGTTACCCAGCCACGTTGGCATTTCTGGGAACACAATGGCCGATCTTGCAAAGGCAGCACTCAACATATCTGTGACTACACTTCGTATCCCGTACTCTGATTACAAAGCTAACATTAGAGCCTACATCCGTGATCTGATGCATAAGAAGTGGGAAACCCAAGTAGGTATCAATAAATTACATGGAATAAAACCCTATATCGGTTACACCTACTTGGATTGTCAGTCCAGATTTGAAGAGGTCATCATACGGCGATGTCGTATTGGCCACACAAGATATACTCATGCATATCTATAGAAAGGTGAGGATCCTCCGTTTTGTATTCCCTTGTGATGAGAGAACCACGGTCAAGCATGTTCTGCTCGACTGTGTTGAATTCTGCATCATAAGGGATAAATATTTCAATATCAAAACAGTAAAGGACCTTTTTAATAATGTTAATTATGAATTTAATCATTAATTTTTTAAAAGAGATAGATTTGTTAAATGAATTTTGATATATGTTTTGTGAATAGAGAAAGTTTTATAATTGGTAGTTCAGATTTTCAACTTAGATTGTTTGTGGCTGTATCCTCAAAGGGGGTTGAAGTAGCGTAAAATTATTGTCCTCCTTAGAGGATACGTAGGTCCCAAAAACTTTCCAAGTCAATTTCGCTCAACCATGCTTTTTAATCGTAGTATTTTTGTTATTTTAAATTTCGGCTAAATCTTCCTACCATCGCTAGCGGCTGAAGGGATGGTGTAAATCCAACTAGGTTCCATGCAGGTAGCAAAATTAATGTAAGTGCCCATGGTTCCTAATATGGTGATCTACCTTCAGTTGTTGGCGATCTATTGCCCGTGTTTTCTATTGTATTGTCTGCTTTAATTAAAATGTTTTAATTTTTCATGCTAGTTTTATATCCATATCTGTGATACTCTAGTTATTTTACAGTCAGTCGATGACTGGTTATTTACCTACTTGTATTTATTGTGTATGCCCAACATTTCTCGTCACTATATTGCTAAAATATTCCCGAGGTGACGTTAAATTTTAACTCACTCACTCATTTTGAAATTATTTATAACTCAAGTATCGTATCGCATTAAAGTCATTGGAAAGATATCATCAAAAGCACAACATCTTTCTTATCTTCAAAAGTATATTTCAAGCAGCATTTTCGTATATTACTGTCTTTTCAAAATATTTTCGACTTTACCCCTGAACAATAAGAACACAAAACCTAAAGGCGCCCCATCAACTGCCAGTGTTAATTTGGTGATACTGAAGACAAATGAAATGTCATTTTGTCTTACATGAGTTCGCAGGTGCTCTATATTGCTTCCTCCAAACAGCGGAAGGGTGAACCGTCTTCAGGGGAGAAAACTCGGGGATACAGGTATTCCTATGACAACCGCCATAATCTGGTTGCATCAGCACTAACTACTTGCAACGGGTGTCTTGTGTCCCCCGTCGTGATATTGCTGGAAAATTGCATAAAGCGGAGTAAATGCAAGATCTTGTTTACAGTTCCAAATTTTATTAAGTCCAGTAATGAAATTATTCTCACATGCTGCGACCACTGAGTGGAACAAACTGCCCTTGGAACTGAACACATGCCCTAATTTTTCATCTTACAAGACCTTACTAAAAACTCATCTGTTTCGTCTCGCCTATCCTTCAAACTAAGAACTTTGTATTTCTCTTATCTTCCAACACATGCTACCTTCAACTCATTAACTTAATTTGTATTGTAGATATGGAGTCCCCGGTTTTCCATAACTGTCCGTCACAGAAGATATATCAGACTTTCGACCCTTATAGTGTATTCTAAGATGCTCCGGTGAAAGACAGTACTTTATTAGACGATAATGTACAGTTATTGCATTACGTCACAATATATTGGCGTCACTGTGTCATTCTAGTCTGCCCCCTCGTAATCGAACACTTTTACATTACGTCACAATGTAACCGACGTCACGATGCATTTCAGTCGTCATCGCCTCGTACAGCCTCATTCACTAAACTACTCCGTTGTACTCATTTGTTTTTCTGGTAACGTTCGTCCTAACATAGAAGGGGGCGCAGACACGTCAACAGAACAGCGCGTCAGTTTTGGTAAACTTACGTCATAGGCAGATTACAATTGAAAATTAAAACAACAAGGTCTTTATTGTTTTAACTAAATGCCTATATGTTCACAATCCAATGCTACGTACCGCCATACATAAACATACATAATTAGGCCCATTTGCATACAGTAATAACTGAGATAACCAGATGTAATTCAACTCATTAAAATTTAGCACCAGACAAGAACAACTAGTCAACCTTCGTTGACTAGAGATTCCCTACAAGGAAAGGGAGGTAACTCTGCGTAATCTGTCTGACTACAGTTTGCCCTGAGCGAGGATTCCTAATATAGGCCACCGACACCGTCGTTTGTTTTCTGCCTTAAATTAATGATCGTAATTATCCTTAGAAAGTAATAGAAAGTGCAGCTCGGAAAGTGTGATTTTGCCGAAAATATCTGTGTCGGACAACTCAGGTCAACAACCAATATGACCAGTATACGCGGCAGTTTCCCAGAGGGAACACATATAGTGCGGTTTGATTCTGAGAATGCAGCTGGAAGCAAGGCAACCAAATGTCTCTTCATCGTTGAAGTTGAACGTATGTTATACATGGTGCATGCAATGTGCACAAAGAGATACCCCTGGGGGATTCTCATTTAGAATTTTAGTTAGGATTTGGTGTTGAACACCCCACACTCAGCATTGTTTCAGGTATATGGAAGCAGTCGGAGTCAGTGTCTTGACCAGACATGGTGGACTTCAAGTGATGGACTTCAAGGGCCTCGATCTACGTAATTGCGATAAGCTGTTATGCATCAATCGAGTCTGTCCGCCCCTTTTAAAGAAAGATAGCATTACGTGTAAGACTGGTGTACACCCAGACCTGTTGACAGGAAGTCATATCTGTTTGATCGGTGATGGCATCAGTTGCTTGTTAGTGAATCAAGAGCGAAGTGTAAATAACTTGGTTTAACTGGAATTTGGCAGCAGTCAACATTGTGATGGCATTGCCACTCTCACTTTATATGCGAAGGGTCGTGTTGCATGGTATTGCCACTGAACGTGTAATGGTCCTCTGGGAAGCCACTGCCTCCTCAAAGTCTAATGTGTAATGCAGAAGTACATGTATTTATATAAAAGTAATGGTCACATAATGAAAAGTTAGTTATGTATGCTATGGTCCTTTGGTAATTATTCTTTGCTAGAATAACGGTCCAGTTGTATGACATGGTGATGCCACTCCCTATGGAATGGTTCTCTTTGAAGGTTTAATTGCTACAGAGAAAAGCGATAGTCCTGTGGAATAATATTGTTGATTACACCTGTCAGAGTAAAGGTGCTGTGGGTTGCTACTCTGAAACACTACTGGATTTATACCTTTCAGATAAATGGTACTGTGAGACTCTACTTTATCTATACCTGTTAGAGTAATGGCTCCATGAGATACTACTGTATCGATACCTGTTCGAGTTATGGATCCATGAAATCCCACTGTATCGATACCTGTAAGAGTAATAGATCCATGAGATACTACTGTGTTGATTCATGTTGGAGTAATGGGTCCATCAGGTACTACTGTATCGATATATATGAGAGAAATGTATCAATACCTGTTAGAATAAAGACTCTGTGGAATCACATTGTAATTACAGCTGGTAGAATAACCCCCGGGTCGTATGCTAATATATCTATATACATCTAACTTTTACTTTTATCTATTTGCTAAATGGTTCTGTGGGACCATGCCATGTTGTCATTCCAATGTGATGGTTTTGTATGGACGTATTCTGTGAGGTGGTATTTATAATTCTTAAAAGCTTTTAGCACTGCATCCGATTCAAGAGTCTTGTACAAACGGAAAGACAATCTGTAAATTGAAAATTGAAAATCGCTTTTTTCGTGTCACAGAAATACACTGATACACATGACACTGTACATCAACCATCATTAACATCAAGTAAATATTTAAAAATCCATTTAGAAATATATTTTGAATTAATACTAATCGAAGACATTAATACAAACCAAGTTTTTCAAGTAAAATTAATGGTATATGGTATATGAAGAAACACAAGTTCTACACATGGTAAGGTTTCAGTATGCATAGTTTATTAATGTTTTAATAAGATTAGGTTTACAGTTTGAGAAACATGGACAAAGCAAGCAAAAGTGAACGTGAAAGTATAATGCTAAAAGTAATCATTTAAAAATTTAAGCTCAGGATTACATTGAAGAAAATGAACCACGTTCAGGTTTAACATGCATAATAGCATAAAATGCACAGCGATTAATTATGTCGTATAAAATATTTCTGAAGTTCATTATCATATTTGAATCTTGAGTATAAAAAATAATTTCATTTCCTGTTTCGATAATGCTAAAAGTAATCATTTAAACTATTAAGCTGAGGATCACATTGAAGAAAATGAACCACGTTCAGGTTTAATTTGCATAATAGCATAAAAAGCACAGCGATTAATTATGTCGTATAACATATTTTTGAAGTTCTTTATCATATTTGAATCTTGAATATATACAGATAATTTCATTTCCTGTTTCGATAATGCTAAAAGTAATCATTTAAAAATCTAAGCTGAGGATTACATTGAAGAAAATGAACCACGTTCAGGTTTAATTTGCATAATAGCATAAAAAGCACAGCGATTAATTATGTCGTATAAAGTATTTTGGAAGTTCTTTGTCATATTTGAATCTTGAGTATAAAAACATAATATTAATTCCTGTTTCAGAGGATGTTTGTAACAAGGTCCGCACAGATTTAATGAAACTTAAAAACAATGTAAACTACTTCTCTAGCATATGTTGGAGAACAATTATTTACATGTAGGCGTTACTTTCACCCCTGTAAAGTTTCCGCAAGATTCATCTTAATTCATTCCAGTCAGGCCTGTTTAAAAAATTACTTGGTTTACAGATTGTAAAAAATTATCAGGTCAGCAGGGAGGGAAAAAAGAAAAAGAAAAAAAAAGGAATATGGAGATGTTATTTGCTCACTTGAGTCCCGTGCAACTGATACTCTGTCAACATCTGTTTCATCTAGAACAGACTGTACTATGTCTCCAACTGTTCTGCCTTGACAAATGAGGTCGTTTGTGATGCAAACGTCCCCTGCACTCGTGGAGTTCAGACAATATGTGTGATTTTCTTTTGTATAATATAAAATAGTTTCAGGGAATATTTGAAAGGTATGATTTGCTATTTTTTCCTTTTTTTTCACTTTCTTTGTTTTTATGGCATATTATGGCAAAAAATGTTGTAAAAACATTTCGGATCGGCGGATCCGTAATAAAAAACGGCCTCACTGACTGAAGTAAACAATCATGCCCAATACAAAGATTGCCAAATTTTATGATGGACCTCTTTACGTGTCTAAAATTAAAATAACCCATTTTCTCCTTTATTCAATTTTACTGTTAAATCTGTGCGAACATTGCACTGGTTGATAACTAGGTTCCATCGCAACAGGTCGGGTTAGTTTCCAAACGTTTGGTCTCGAAACGATCAATCTGCCAACAGGCCTGACCATCAGGGATACTGCCAGAACATTTCAGAGTTCCTGTGAAGAAAAGAATAAACTTTAACAAGTTTGCTGGACTGAATCATACTATGTAGCTCAGGAGGAGCAGTGTTCGTAAGTTGCAGTTTAGGAGCGGTAGCTGACGTGCTTTAATGCGAAGGGTCAGTACCGAACCTACTGACAGATGCACAGTAAATATGAAACGTTTATTCATGTGATATGAGTTACATGTAACACTGAAAATTACTGGAAAGGGTATCATAGCTTTTCTTAAATTACTCCAATCGGAGTGTGTAAGTCTAAAAAACGACGAAAACATTTATATTACCCCAATCCTGTTGGCTGGTGGAGATGACCGAGACGCTGGTTGGGGGTGATGCAAGCGACATCACTTGTGCGCGTGTGACACCATCAGCATTGACTCTGTACAGTCTAAAAGGAATAGGCAACACGTACCAGGTAAACTTATTGACATATAAAGACAGATATCGAATGTGTAACAATATCGTTAATATTGAGTACCTCAATTTCAAACGCTAATAACTTCAACATCAATGACATTGTTGAAGACCAATACATCAGTAGGCCCTACCTTGTTTCATTGGCATAGAAGTAGTAGTCGTTCACGAGGCCAAACAGCGGACTTGCGTTGTCAACAAGAGGTGTGACGTCCTCGCCGTCGGTGTCGCAGCTAATGAGTTGTCCGTTGCTGTACCACATCAATCTATCAACTGTAAAGAAAAGGACAAATTTCCAAAATCTTTCCTCAACATCATTACTTCATATCATCATGAAAAAAACCCTAGCAACGCCACATGCTCCATATCACAGACAACATGTGACAGATCTCAGATGTTGACGATTAACTCCATTAGTGTGTGTGCGTGTAAGCGCGTGCGCGCGACTGTCCGCGTAGGTTGTGAAGGTGCATGTGTATTTCAATATCATCAAAATAGGATCCGCCTCTGAATATTATTTTCAAGATCAATGTCAGATCGATACTATCCTTTCATTTCTAATTGTCACTATACAGGTGCAGTTGAATAATACTAAATTTAGTTTAGGCCTCCTTGGAAGGCCAAATAAAACGTTGGTCAAAATACCTCAAGTAAGTTTGCAACTCTGTTTTATTCTTCTTTCAATGGATATGGACAAAGAAAAGGAATTTCAGCATTTGTTATATTTACCTTCTGAGTTGAGCCTGAGACCAAGGACGTCTTGTGTGGTGTTCTTTAGTAAAGTTGTCGTGTCATTACCATAACGGTACTGCTGGATTGTCTGCCCCTCTGCCCAGTACATCATGCTGAAAAACCGTTCATAGTTCAGCACTAGGGCTATAACATGTATTCCAAAAAGTAATAAACTGAAATATACAGTACAACCAGAAATTATTGGGAATTTAAAGATTGTATTTTTTAATTTTTTTCACTCATTACTCACGTATTAAATGTGAATTCTAGCAGAACATAATTCCAAATTCAAAGACAGGTGAACAGTTAGTATTTTGTCAAGTCACCATGGGCAGCAATGCAGGCTTCAATGCGGCGGGGCATACTACTGATCAAAGAAGTTAGAAAGTCGTGGTCCACGCTGTCCCAATATCGGACCACCTCTTTTTTCATTTCAGCAATATTTGTCAGATTTTCCTTATTGACACTTTCCTTCATAAGTCCCCAAACATTTTCTATTGGATTTAGGTCAGGGCTATAGCTTGGCCAATCTAATAATGTCATATTTTGGGACCGAACCCAGGCCTGTGAATGCTTTGAACGATGTTTTGGGTCGTTGTCCTGCTGGAAAATCCAAACATTTCCATAGAACACGTGAGCAGATGGAAGTCTGGCTAGATTTGTCTACGCTGCTAACGGCTGAAGGCATGGTGTAAATCCAGCTAGGGTCCATGCAGGAAGCAAATGTACTGTAAGTCCCCATGGTCCCTAGTATGGTGATCAACCTTCAGTCGTTGGCAATCTATAGCCTGTTTTTATATTGTATTGTCACTCACTCACTTTAGAGTGCGATTTTAGATTTAATTACTAGTTTTAAATGAATATCTGTGATACACTAGTAGTTTTAATGTTCTTCGTCAACAGGTTATTAATTCCTAACTTTATTGATCTTTAATATAATTATAAACTGTTCTCGTCACGATATGGCTGAAATATTGCCGATTTGACGATAGATATTAACTCACCCACTCACTATCTCTTCACATAGTTTGTAGATGATAGAGCTTGCATCCTAGACGATTCAGAACGTTGTCTAAAGGCATGTTTGGAAGTTATACTCTAAATATCTACGTAACACTGATGGTCGTCTTTCCTGTGCTTTCATCGACTTCGAAAAACCCTTTGATTTTATAGATAGGAACAAATTGTTATTTCAGCCACATGCCAAAGGTTGTGGTGGTATATTATACATTATTCTTCAAAATTAGAAAATTCTGAGTAATTTCTTATACTTACCTGCTTCACAACAAATGCATTTTCCTTTTAGTTCACTAGAAGCCTACTTTATGTTCCACTAAATAACGAGTTATCACAATAGCAGTATCTGTCAATTGTGTGCACTGCACATAACCGGAAACTCGTCATTCCTTAGAAAAGTAACCAGTCATGAAGTTGGCCAAGTAAGCAGGAAGGCCGGGTATAGCCATACGTACTTGTGAAGCAGGTAAGTATAAAAAATAAGGAATTACTCTGAATTTTCTATTCATAACTTACTGTGTTTCACAACAAATGCATGTTAATACCACAACTCGGATGTGGGAACAGATGATATAATGCACAGTGCAAACTCACACGACCTCAAATTACAGATACACCACGACAGATACACAGAGGTACCCTCGGGCTACCTGCTACAGGCCAACGCTAGAGCAGGCAACCCCAGACGACCATTGGCGCCCGTGCTGTGTGAGCTGTCAAAGCACAATGCAAATCACAGACTGCGGGACTGTTGAGCGAAGGTTAGGGGAGCTAGGGAGGAGATGTTAGCATGCAAGGCAAGGTCGCCACAACAGCTCGAACCTCATGAGGGTTGGACCGAGAAGGCGGCGGAAGTCCAGCTTTCTTATGCCCCCACAAATACAGGACTGGATCCCATACGCAATCTTGTTCTCCCGATTTTCTTAACCGACGTCTGGCTAGTCGGAAGGGATAGTCTTATACAAGACCCCAGCAGGGTCGGTGTACGATCTTCATAGAGATGTAAAGCTTAAACTGGGCACAGGGGAAAGATCCTCCACATCTTGAAGATTCTTACAGACGCAAGCTAAGAAATAATGAATTCCATTGGGGCTGTGACGGGAGTTGGTTCTTGGCTATGAAATCCATGAGAAGATCCAAATGAACACTGGCATGAGCCTTCCTCACAAACTTGACTTGCGTGGTATCAATAGCGTGAATCTCAGATGCTTGAGCCGCCGCTGCTATGGCCACCAGGAACACCGACTTCATCATAAGATGAAGAAGAGGAGCATCTTCAAGTGGTTCGAATGGTGGCCGAAATCTGTTCAGTTGGTCTTCCTGAGGGAAGTTGTTGAGGACAGTTTTTAGACTCAGGGGCTTTAGACAGCACAAAGCCCACAGCAAAGAGCTTTGAACTTTCGTTTGTTCCGGTGGAAGAGGAGGAAGTCTGCAAACTGAACAGCCGAAGCTGAGGTGGCAACGGCCTGCTGAGACAATAAGTCAAACATGAAGCCCACTGCTTGTCCTAGTGTCCTAGTGGAGGCCCCATGCGCCATGGAAATCAGGCCTACCATACAAACGGTTAACAAATCATCAAAACTGAACAAAAATCACCAAAACTGCAACAATATCCTCTAAAACCGAAACAATACATCTGTAATGGAAGACAAATCGTTTGAAATGGAAACAAAACTCGCGTATCAGCTGCAAGAGCGCGCGGGAACGGTCGCCGAGCGTACTAAATGGCATTCATAGCATCCCAACACAGCAACACATTTTACATCATTTAACAAAAAATAAAGCTTAACTTGAGGTACAATCATTCGTCCGTCTTTGTTATTGTAAGTCTCAAGAAGTCGACTCCTGTGGACTTGAAACAGAAATCCCTGCCCTAATCAATGGATTGAGTTTGCACTCGTACACTTTAAAAATGATCACTTAGATATGCAATTCACGGAAAATGAACAAAGTTTTTGTTAACTTTTTAAATCACTAAAACATAGTAATGTTGAATGTAATGCTATGAATTCTTTATTTACAAAACTGAAGAGAAACTGTAGCATGGCATGTTGACAAGAAATCCTATTCGGTCGAACGAGGGACCACATCGTGCAGAATTGGAAGCCTGACACTGAGAAGTATGGACATAAGTTTGAAGCTTACTACAATAGGGGGTTTATGCGCTACATCCCGATATCAGATTTTCATGATTAGACTCATGGTGACGAAAAACATTATGTACCAAAGCCTATTCGTCCCCCCTTGCCGCCATCTCTGACGATTTGTATGCCGTTTCGGGATTCTATGACTGCCGTGTTGGGATGCTATGAATGCCTTTCTGTACGCCCGGCGACCGTTCCTGCGCGCTGTTGTACCCGATACGCGAGTTTTGTTTCCATTTCAAACGATTTGTCTTCCATTACAGATGTATTGTTTCGGTTTTAGAGGATATTGTTGCAGTTTTGGTGATTTTTATTCTGTTTTGGTGTATATGAGTTCAGTTTTGATGATTTGTTCACCGTTTGTATGGTAGACCTGGAAATAGCTGAAGCAGATGTAGCCACACCTTGAGAGAATCCTCTCGGCACTAAACTCTCCTTAATATGAGCCATACGTTCAGAGCAAACGGTTGTGCCCTGGGTGAGGTCTCCTCGTGACGTGGACTGCTTGTCAGTTCTGTTAGTGCCACAAACCACTGGCGTGCATGCAAGAGTGGCGCTACCTGACGCAGTCAAAGGACATCTCCAGCTGCGTGTTGTACCTTGTGGCGAACAGATCTATGATGGGGCGACTCCAGAGATTAGCTATCTGTTGAAAGACGGCTGGATGCAGCATCCACTCCGTCGGTGGAGGAAGATCTGGTCTAGAGAGGTCGTCTTCCAGAATGTTTGTGTCACCTGGAATATGACGTGCTTTCAGTTGAATTCTCAGTCCGCAATAGTAAATCAGTAGAGATGCCGACCTCATTGAGCCTTGTTTGCTGATGAATGCCGCGACTATCACATTGTTGGTTGTGACCATCACTTGCTTGCCTGCCAAGTGAAGTTTCCAGCGATCTAAGAGTCCAGGAGCACTGCCAGAAACTCCAAGTTGTTGATATGAAGACCTTGTTGTTCTTTCGACCACAACCTGGCAGATGTTGCTCAGTCAAAATGAGCGCCCCACCCTTAGAAGGATGTTTCCAGGAAAAGATGGTGAGTAGCCTTGAATGGCGTCAGGGCATTCGATGGTTGGAGCCACCATTCTAGGTACTGTTGGATACTGTGGGGACAAGGGATCCAGAGGAAAAGGTCCTTGCGACCGACCCATGAAGGTCAGAAACCTCTCAAACCTCTCTCAACCTGAGGGAAGTGGAAAGCGCCTGCTGGATCAGGGGTTGGTAGGCGTGAAGCTCTTGGGGAACTACCAGGCGACCGAGGTCCGTCCGGAAATGATACCCGATGACCACAATTAACTGACACTAAATGAGGTCCAAGTTGACGAGCCATCCCAATCGTTGAAAAAGACTGACGACGAAGTCTCCCTGTCTGACAAGCAACTGTGGACAAAGTCGTGCCTCGAATCCGTCATCGAGGTACATCTCCAAGGGGATGCGAACTTTGTGCAGATAGCGCCTGGAAAATAGATACGAGGCCGTACACATTCTAATTGGCAGCATCTTCCACTGGTATTGGCGTCCATGGAAGTTGAAGTGCAGGAACTTGAATTGTGGTGGAAAGATCGGAATGTGCAGGTAGTGCCGTTCTGCACCAAAATTCAGCAAAACTCATGCTGCCAAAAGGCAGCATGAGAAACCGGAAGTACGGAGAATCATCCCGGGAGTGATGTCGTCTGGACTGAGGACTTCGATGGCGAATACTTTGACTACAAGCAACTGAAGTTGTGCCTCTATTGGCCAAGTGGTCAACGGAGGAACGTCGATAGAGGATCGCCAACTGGTAAAGAAACCAATGTCCTGGGGTCTATGGCTGGAGTAGGAAGGGATTGGGATGGCCATGCCACGTCACTGTTTCCTCTGGCCACGCCTCCTGCCACGGGGCCCACGCCTCCTGCCACGGGGCCCAGGCTTCCTGCCACGGGGCTTGGGCAGCATCTTGGGTGTGGTTTCAGGCTTTCCCCTTTGGCTTGCCAAATGTGATCCTGGAGGGGTGAAAGGTAGGCCTCTTAGGAGTCACTGACACCACGACCTTGCGAGATAGATTCACAACTGTTTTGGTAGTGAGTTCGACTCGCTGCGGCTGTTCGTACTTGGCCCAGACGTACGCAATTGACCTGGTTAAAAGCTGATCTGAAACTGGGGATGCGTGGAGACGTTCTGTCTTTAGATGATCAGGAAACTTCGCATCCACCCAAACCTGGCGCTGATCCGAAGGCATGTTGTCTTGGCCAGACGGCTTAACTAAAGATGAAAGTAGCCTTTCCTCCTTGCGTCTAGACTGCTGTTTGGGCTTCTTGACCACCCTGAGGTAAGCTGCAAACTCCCGGTCCGTAAGGTAATCACACTCAGGGCACTTATCCTCCTTGGTGCACGAGGTGTCCAAGCAGTCGGGACACCAGCCATGTGGATCCTTTACACTGTTGGGGAGATGACAGCTGTCACACTTGGTGGTAAACACAGGCAGTGTCTCCGACTCTGAAGGCTGAAGCAACTGGTCCGCCATCTCCGACTAAGCAACCAGTAAACAAACTGATCAAACACGAACGAACCTGACAGAAAACACGAAACTAACACCAGCATACAGTTGTGTAACAATTAAAATTGAAACACAACCTCAATGAAACACAAAATAGGCCCGATGAAAGAGTAAACACTGAAATAATATCAGAGAAAATTGTGAACACAACCTCTCAGCATAAAGCTTTGAAGAAGGAAAGATGAGTTTCCGGTCATGTGCAGTACACACAAATGACAGAAACTACTATTGTGATAACACTTTTTATTCAGTGGAACATAAAGTAGGCTTCTAGCGAATTAGAAGGAAAATGCAATTGTTGTGAAGCAGAGTAAGTTAAAAGAAATGTCTGTCAAAGCTTGTGTTATAACTACTGACAGCAAGGCTCCAATATGTTTTACAAATATGGGTGTAAGACATGGTGTAAGATATGTTAAGCCCAATGTTATTAACATTTTTTTCATCAACGAATTTGTGGTTGATATGTATAAGAGTTGTAACTATGGTATTTTTGTAACTAGAAAAACTGATGATCTTTCACTTTTACGTTTTGCCGATGATATTGGGTGAGATTGGTCGCCATAGCATGTTTTCAGTAACGTGTTATAAAATAATGGATTAAATTGTTAAGAATGAGTTATTATCGATATCCCCACCAATGCTATGGAATGTTCATATCGCAGGATGAAAGTGGCAAATGTAAATGCAATTAGTTGTCTGATGTGAAAACTGATTTTTCATTTGTATGGATTAGTCATGATGCTGGAAATATGTCGTTGTTCTGTAAATGTGGGCAAAGAATAATGCTATTTCGTTTCAAAACTGTCTTTTCGTTGTACCGAATTCGTAATTTCTTCTATACAGTGAACATAAATCTCTTCTTCAACATGAAATGTATATAACATAATTATATGCTGAATCATAAGTACGTGAGTTTTTTTTAAATTTAGAATTTCTTTACGTAATGTTAAAATAAACAATTACCGTAAATTGAAAGAAGATGATCTTTAAAATGTAATGTGTACATCATATAAATATTGGAGACAATGTGAGTTTGGCTAATCACCTTGATTTCTGTTCTTCCAGAAGAACTTATTAAGGACTTTCAACGTGAGTGGTTAAAAGCACGTGGGGCAAATAAACCTGATATAAAAAAGAGTGACATCCGCAAAAAAAGAAAACTGAGAAAAGGGCATTACAAAAGTTGGTGGTTTCAATTACTGAATCTGGCCAAAATTGTAAAAACATGTAAGGGATGATATTACGCCAATAACTGCTACTGGAGTATCCTTCCCGCATGATGGGAATTTACAGCCAATCTAAACACCCTGGAACTGAACATATCTGGTATGATACAAATATCCGAATTGAAAATACAATAATCGACTACCCTAGATGGAACTAAAACGAAATTCGATTTATAAGTGACAGTCTACATACATCAGGGCAATTTTTGTTTGATCTATCAAACTTTAGTGAATTATTATCAATTGACATCTTTCTAGAATACATGGGAGTTGTTGGCTCAATGGAAAAGAGATGTACGCAGTACTCTATTGACCTCAGAAAACTCATACATAATACATAAAACGCAGCTACTAAACCAGAAACGGCTTTGCATGTACCTACTAAGTGCAGCAGGCATCTGGTAGAAACTAGGGAAATGGGCTTTCGCAAAAACAAATGTCAAAGCATAGAAAAATATAAAAAGAAAAAAAGAAGAAAAAACAACAACAAAAAATACCCCAGACAAATATTTAAACATAGAATCCAAAAACGAATTTCTACTTCCTAATATGTTAAGATGGAATCCTAAAATAGTCCAAACTTGACATTGCCTACTTTTCTGAACTTTAGTCTTCCTTTCATTCTTGTTTAATATATTTACTTTGTACATTTGAAAACAGCGTCTATCGTCAAAGTGTATAATAACTGAAAATGCACTATACTTTGCTTTTCAGTGACGAATTGCATATGAAGTAGATCTACAGATTTGCTTTGCTTGGTCAAATATGTAGGATTATTATAATACAGATTTCTAGAGCATATATCTTTTTCATGGCACTTTTTCTGTTTTTGTGTTAAACATGTATGTTTTAACGTGTATTTAGTTTCATTACCAACAAGCTCACATTCATTCACATTGCCCTTGTGTCAAGAGTTGCCGTGCTGTAATATCTACATAGCAGAACGAATTAGCAACGTATGACGCCAACATATGATAAGTTTATAACGGTGTGAATAATTTTATAAAAATCTAAATGATTTTAAGAGTTAATAAGTGTTAATCTTAATTGAAGCTCTGTCTCATAATTCAAGATGATATCATCATGAATAAAAGGCATTAATAGAATAATTTACAACATACAATTTTTCCTGATGTAGGACAAGATCACTGGGGCTATCAAGTCCGTTGAGTATCACTATGTCATCTTTGGTGTAGCGGTCAGAGGTCACGGCCTTGAGGGAGCCAGTGCGCAGGGTATAGAACACAAGTCCTGACCTCTCGTCCACAGCCAATCCTGTCACCTCTTCCCCTGGAGCAGAATTATATTAGATTACAAATCCACCTTTATGTTGACGTATGAAACCATCAGTTCAATAAAAAAGCAACAGTCACTCAACCGTGAAAATACAATTATACGAGGTGTTTGCTAAACCTGTAATCACGTGTCATGTTCCTGCTCCTACGTAACCAACACTTGCACCTGAAGGTCGAGGTGATTGTATTTATGACTTAAGGAACACTTCTACATCTGTAAGGTATATAGCAATAGAGCCTGTAAGTCTCGCGAGGTGTTAATTCCGGTACTTGGCTGGTTACCGGCTCCCTTTGAGCGCGCCATTTTGGAATTGGTGAGACGGGGACCAGCTTACTTCCGGTACCAGATTTCCGGTGACAAGAACTATATTAAAGAACCAGTTGTGGTTCCAACTGCGCGACCGCATATGACTTTACTAGACTAGACCAAATGTAGAGCTATGCTTGGCTGTCACAGCTGTTGATTTGTTGATTTAATAGTTGGCTAATTTGGGCATGGTAAGATCGGAAATATGTTATTCGTGCAAGGATTATCTGTTCCTTACTGTCATCTGACAACCATGAGACCATTCGAAAAGGTATGAAACGTTGTTTGTCACCGGAAGTACTAAGGTATCGCGAGGTGTCGTGACATACTTATGGGCCCTATAGCTCAAAGATTTGTCAAATTAATCAAACACACATTCACACGGACCAACCTTCTGTCGACCATACTGAGGAACTTAGAACCATTTTAAGGTCATTCTGAGAAAGCTCTTGATTGTTTTATTATATTTAATGCATATTTAATTGTATAGTTGCAGGCGGTCAACTTTATAATACAAGCATACTTCCGACTAGACGTGATTGTTTTCCGGTGTAATACATTGATTAGAGTATAACACATCAAGATTTAAGAAACCTTTCAGATTTATGATCGTCAGCTGCCTGTTTCCATCCCATCGGATTCGTCCAATGGAGGCTGGAGACTGTGTGCTGTAGTAGATGTAGTTATCGGTGGCGCTGTAGACGTGGTGAGTTACGCTACCGTTGATGTTGGAGAGGATAATAATGCTCTGATTTTGGAATGTCAGGGGAGTCTTGGTCAGCGTATTTTGACCACTGGCCACCAGTAGGTACTGGTCTGGAGATTCGGGAGCTGGTTATTATAAAGCAGAAAGCTCTGATGTGTCATTAGGTGTACAAAATGCTTGATTTCAGAGTTAACAGCAGGAGGTCAGGACCGTAGACATGTTTGATGCATGGCATCATATCATAAATGTGTACATCGACTGTTTCAGTCACGTGATTGTCTGGTCAAGACTAGATTATTTATAGGCATCCGTCAAAGCTGGAATATTGGTAAATTCAATCTCACAGAAGCAAATGAGCTTTATATTCATATTTGAGTTTTATAGACACATTACGAGCATCTTCATTTCTCTAAACTTGCATGCTATCATTTCATCATATCGAATAATGTTGCTTTTTGTTCATCACGTTTTTTCAATAACCGGTACACATGCCTCCCCTTTCATTCAACGAGTCAGAAGTGGTCATGAAGACAAATAAGTTTTGGATTATAGATTCGATTATCTACAGACCTTTGTCAAATAGATAGAATTGTGCTGAGTGCGACACATACACAGTAAATAAACAGTCCTGGCATTCTTACCAAGACACATGGTGTGGTATGGAATCCCGATGTCGGGTGTTGTGGCGAACCCGGGGCAGGGTGTACAGGACAACTGTCCGTAGTGATTTTGGTAGAAGCCAACGGGACATGCCTCGCACATGCCATCGGAGTAAAAGGTTCCAAGTGGACATTTCGCTGATAAAACCAATACAAGAGAGGTAAAAAGGAAAATTGTACTGACGCATCATTTTCTGTCACTGACAACCAGGATACATGTTGCAAGTCTCCCTGGAACATTACTATTACAGCATAAAATGAATGCTAAAATGTGTACACATTTGAGGGATTTCAAGATGGTACCTGGTTACGATTTCTGGCTTGTTGGCACCATTTAAACGTTGAAGACCTGCGTCACGTCATGCGGTCCTCCGATATAAACAGAATATTTATCAATGAACAACTCACTTACATGATAATTTACCATCAGTGCCATTTCCTTACTCTACGTCAGTAGGCAGGTGTGTGGTTTGTGAATCCCCTTGCGTTTAAAGTAGGAACTCTGTGAACACTTACAGCAGAATAATCCCCCAGGAACACGGCCAGCAGCACACGTGACATTTTGTTCCACCTTCAGGTAGGGTTCATTGTCTCCGACTGTAAAGTTCCTGTAACCCACGGACCTTACTTCCCAGTTCGCTTTGTCCAAGATATTCCAAGCAGCAGTGATTGCTCCAAGTCCCCCAGTAGCTGTTCAAACCAAAACATCATATTCTTGGTATGAGAGGAATGTGTCATAAAAGGGGGTTCTAACGGTCTAGTTTTTTAGTGTCCTCAAGATCAAGGATATTTCATTCCATCCGCAAATGATGCACTCCTCTGCCAAGCCCAATCAACTGTATAAACATCTTTTCGTTTCTACACTACCCCTTTTCATTTGTTCATCTCTGGCTTCAATCGCTTCCCCCCCGTCGTTAACTCACAGGCTTTATCAACTTACTGCCTTGCCAGTTATGTAAATTATGTTGGTTTTTTTTGCTTGTAAAATGTTAGATGGAGTGAATATTTCGAAATAAGTATGGGCGAAAGTGAAAGGGTTCGAAAGAAGAGATTACATTTAGATGATATCTGAAATGTTTTGACCATAGTCGTGTCCACTACAAATGTAATATACTCATTAGCAAATCCTTTCACGAACCTGCTATCCCGCTTCCGTTGCGTCCGTATGGCTGCACTATCATGTGACCTTGATGCATTGTAATTTCAATATCACGGTGGGATGGACTGTAACGTTCATTACTTTCGTGCATAAATCCACCATTGGAAGACAGCAGATTTTTATTGATTCGAGCAACTGAAAACGTTAACCAGAAAACAAATAGACAACGCTCACTCATGGAGTCATATATCAATGCTGTCTAGGTTCATTGGATTTGCTCTTATCTAACCAATTCTCTCTTTATGTGTCCTCTGCAGTTTTCATGTATATTTGATTAGATATTACCCTGGTATTTTAGTCAGAAAAATATTGAAATATTCGATGGTAACAATCATAATTTACAGTAGTCTTGATTGGTTTGCATCGGGGACTTGATGTCCAATGTCAATACAGACGGTGCAATGACACCATACTCACGTTCTGGATTAGTCTGCATCGAAGAGACGTCAACAACACCGGGTACAATGTGAATGTCGAGTGTCAGAACACCCAGCTGCACACCAGAATTATCTGTACACACAGTTGTATCGTTGTCACAATCGATGCCGGTAACATGCCAGCCACATACACCACTTTTCACACATGCAAACCTCTCCGCGATGCCAGAGAGTGATTCCTTCAGATCGGGTACTCGCTGTGTGTGAACAACAGTATATTTCAGCTGGACTGTGACCGGAGATGCGGGTTCTAAAAAAGACAATAGGATTTAGTGACATGTTCGACGACAAATTCACGCTCATACCATTATAAGATTAGGTATTAAGCGAATGATGTTCCAGTTGTGCTGGCCCAAGTCTTCTGGGCATAAAAACAAATTATCCAGATGTGATTTTACCCTCTGCTATGAGTGTATTGAAATATAATTTGAGAAGCGACTGGGGTTTCGATATTAATATTTAAATTAAACATTATCCCCAAAATCACCCTGCTGCTTCTGAACCAGATGAAGACAAAGCACAAACCTGCACATGACCGCACAACACGACCAGGCGTCCATTCTTTTTCCTTGCAAGAATACTTCATGTCAGACTGGAACTGTACCAGACCAATTCGGCATTTACTGTCACATTGCAATACACCATCACTGTCTGTGGTGCACGTCACGTCGGCAATGTCCCGGCTGGATAGAAGATACTCCTTGTGGCAGACTGTTAATGGCAAAATAGTTGATTTATCGGAACAATAGGTCTTCAGCAGTCAACGTTTGACTACCACTATCCAATAAGTATAAGGTAAAGAAGGGCATCAGCCAATGGTGTGATTTATTCTAGAAAGAAAAAAGAAAGAAAAAGGAAAACACGGTTATATGTGCTCTGCTCACAATAATATCTTGACGAATGGAGTGATCTGAAAGTTGGAGTGTCAAGAAAATGAGTTGTAAATATTTCTTGAATATGTGCAAATACAGCCATGATAGTGTTATAAGGTGAAAATTGCATCCGTTATACAAGAAACGTATCACAAATCTATTATTGAGACTTACGGTTATTTCGTCATAGAATGCTATGACTGTTGGTAATAAACTAAGGGATAAAGAACAGGATAAATGTCAGTAACAGATAAGCCTCTTAAAGTAGTAATTAAACGGATATCGATCGAGGAGTATTTCTGATCACGAGGCACGACATGAGACCATGGAATGATGTAACTTTAAACGAATCTGGGGGATTGAATCTGGTCATGTGACAAGGGTAGAGCAGACACGAACACCTTAAGAAGATACTTTCAGCACAAGAAATTGGTGCGGGTTGCAAAGTCAAAAGAACGTTCGCATCGCGATCGATCAGTTTCCATCCCTGCTAAAGAGCTTGCCCTATCCTGTCCAGACCACGTCACCTTGAAACGACGAGAGGGATCGAGTAAACATATGTGAGTATAAAACCTTGTGTTGAGTTATTCCTGGTATGCCAGAGTGCCAGCACATGAATGAAATGTGGTTATTGAGGAGTTACAGTCGTCTGACCTCTCACTCCTAGACTTAACATTCCCCATGGACCAAGCAAGTGTGTAACTGGAGCTTACATCACCCCTGACATCCAGCTTAATAGGTAACTGGTAATAGGGTTTACTCACACCCAAATCCCGGTTACGACAAATAGCATATTATGTATCCAAACAACAAATAACAAAAAATACGAGATCCTTCAGTTTGTTTGCTTGTTGTGATCCAACTATATGACGGCGGTCTATAAATAACCAGACACTCCACGGGTTAGATCTTTGATATCGATTTGAAATGTACAGTGTGGTTATAATAATTGTTGTTCGTGTTGTATGATGCAAACATTAAACTACTAGGTTAATTACCTCGACATGGCTCGGCATTACAAACTTCTGTGTTTCTGTAGTTGCCAACACAGGGTTTGCTTCCGTCTTGTAGGCTGTCGCAGGAACGATGTCGTGTTTTGTAGCCACGTCCACACGTCACGGAACACGCCCCCCAATCGCCCCACATGCCCCATTCACCATCAGCTGTGAAAGGATAATTGGAAAACTGACCGTATCAAGTAGCCTTGCGGTTAATTCCAGTGGAATCTGTCAATCAATACATCTGTGTTTGTCAATTAACAATGTGTGTGTGTGTGTGTGTGTGTGTGTGCGTGCGTGCGTACGTATGTGTGTGGTGTGACGCCGTTGTCTCGTCACGCCGAAGCCCCGGCTTAAATTCCCCACATGGGTACAATATATTAAGCCCATTTCTGATGTCCCTCCCCCGCAGTGATATTGCTGGAATATTGCTACTTAACCACAAAACATAAGCGAATAAAAGACATAGTAAATGCCCTAACGTACGTTTTTATAGTTTACATATTAAAGTCGGTGTATGTGTTCCCTTACGTTGTTCATCGTCACACAGCGTTCCAGTAAACCCCGGTGGACAAGCGCAAGTGTACTCAGCTCCTTCTCCCAGTCCTGCCACACACGTTGAGCCCTCTGCACAGTCGTTGTCTGCACACTTGTCTGGCGGGGTCATACACCGAGGGTCAGTGTAGCCTCCACTGCAATGACACTGTGGTGCCATGGACGCGTTCAGAGAACACCTTCCAAATGTGCCACAGAATCCCTCACATGGGTCAATTTCTGCGGGAAAATCATTTCATTAGTAAAGCACATTCCCAGAATAGAAGCAACATGCATAGAGTACCTATATGTGTGTAAAATAGTACAAAAGTGAATTCGAAGAATTGAGGTCAAATGGTGTTATTACATACCCTACTTCAGACGTAAATAGTTTGGATGTAATCAAATCAATGTTAAAGGCATGGGTATACAAATTAACTATTCATTAACATCGTTCATTTTTGTGTGTGTGTGTGATGATGTGCGCACATGTTTTGGTTTTTTTAATATTAAATGTAGTCGTAATGGACAGCGATGAAGGGTTTGAATCTTTAATAAGGGGGTAATACAATGTCGCGAGGGACAATTTGTAATTCCTCTCTGACGAACCCTCCCAGCAGCCCGTCTTTTAAGAAGTACAAGTTTGGTTCCCTGTCTTTGTTGTCAACTTGGTCGACGTTGTATGTTTTCATGGACCATATTGGATCGGTGGCACATTTTCTGCTGTCCCCCTCATATTCACCGGCTGGTACAAGTACCTCATGTTGACCAGGTCCGGTAATGGTTTTTCTGATCCATGTGCTGCTGCTGTGATTCAGCGGCGACGGATTTCATTTGGTTGGCCTCAATGGATCTCTTGCCCACGAGTCTGGTGACTTTGTTGTTAATGGCATCCACCACTCGCGGCAAGCGTACGACCCATTCCGTATTTCTGTTTTTAGGACCAATGAAATCCTGCTAGTAATGGTGTGAGAACAGGCGTTCGGCCAAGGTGCGATTGTTACCTCTCGACGATGGCTTGGCTTCGGTTGGCTCCGGCCACGCCTCGTCTGACCAGGACTTTGTGCTTGGCCAGCAGCTGCCACACGGCTCCCATAAACTCGTGGCCAGGATCGATTTGCAAGACATCAAGCCAGGTCACGCAACTGCGTTTGTAGATGCGTTCTAAGGCTTTGGTGACTTCGGTTGAAACTTTGTTTGTCAACGGCTTGGCTTCCTTGTAGCGACTGGCAACATCAACTATGGTCAGGGCGTACTTGTATGTCTTGCGTCTTACCCTGTCGTGCGGCAGAAACAGGAGGTCGGCTTGATGGACGCGATTCGGTGTTGAAATGTCGAATTTTCTTCTTGGAATGTACCGAGGCGCTGGCAGATAAACTTGCCAGAAAGCTTTGGCTTTCTCATCGGAGACTCGAGCAGCTTTGGTGAGTTAAAGGCTGGACTCACTATGAGTTTCCGTAGGTTTTCCTCCTCGTTGGATCTAACTAGTTTCACATCCAAGCGTTTCCTTAAATTCTCCATGTTTTTACCAAATACCGAGTTGTTCATCAGGTTGTAGAGGCTTTTCTCAAATTCGCTTGTGGCTTGTTTTCTTAATTCTGTGTTTAACCGATTGTAAGGTTCCATCCAGGGACTTTGATCAAATTTTAGAACCCGATGCACTTTGGTAAGCTTCATTCCCAACAACAAGTACATTTGCAGCTTCCGATAGTGCACCACATACTTGGTCTTGTTCATCAAGTTAGGTACGAGTTTTTCCACGTTAGCCAGTGCGTTATCTCCCAACAAGTTTCGTTGATATTCGGACATCCATTCTTGGTCCACCATTGATCGTTCTTGAGCCAGCGGATAACTGTTGTGGTTGGCATGCAATTCTTTGGGATAGTCCAAGTCCACTTCGAATGGGAATCCATTCTCAAAGTTTTTTCGGGGATAGCCATAATGTTCTTTGTATTAAAATGTTCGTTATCAACCCACTCGAACCCGTCCGTGGGTAAAGGTTGACTCATGGCCCAGCTGTACAAATTATTCACGTCGAGATAGAGGAGATGATTGGTGAGTTAACTCAAGACGTAGGCTTCCATGCTTTCGCGTAGCGTTTTGATACCATGGAAATCCTGCTGCGCATTCCTTTCTCGATAAACAGGTGCATATCATACTCCGTTAACAATTCCAATTTAACTCTGGTTTTCTTTAAAAGTGCATCCCACGACAGACCGGGGCTGGTGTAGTACCATGTAGGGTCTAGACCATAGTGTTTCGAGCACTTTCTCTGAAAGTCTCGAACACGTCGGCCAGAAATACAGGTCGTGATAATTGCCTAAATTCTGACAGCTTAGTTTCCCCCCACACGTTAAGGGCGTGCACGTAATCGTCCTGGGAGATGTTCGAGTTGGTTAAGTGACTATAAAAGCAGTCGATGGGAGGTAATTTCGTTTCAATGAATCTAGACGAATCGTCCATGTACTCATACGGGTACACACCCTTTTTTATCAGCAAAGGCAGAGTCGGTGTATTGATTGGTTATAGCAAAGGTATCATTGGCCTTTATCAAACTGTCGAGGACGACAGGAGAAACTGGGCACTATCGATGAAGCTCAGACTGTTTAACGAAAACGAGATGTATTTTTCCATGTTGTTGGGGATGCACTCTAAGCCGCCATCGATTTCTCAGATGGCCTGCCTGATCAGGTGGGCATTGTAACCTCTGAGGTTGTGAAACACCACGGGAATGGGTATCTTTTGGGGATCGATTTTAAGCTTTAAGTTGCACGCATTGTGGGCGGCGCCTTGGTATTGACCGGTGATGTGACAATGATCTCTTATGGAATCGTCTTTAAGGGGTCCCCGTCATACGTGGCAATATCTAGCTCGTTGATGAGTGAACTCATTCTCTGGTGTCATACGAATGAGGGTAGGGTCCCCCAAAAAAGCTTCCCTGACTTTTTCCTCTTCGTTTTGTAAGGACGTAAGAAATGTTTGGGCTGCGTCGGGACCTCGGTAGATTACAGGGAACGTTCGTTTCCCCGTCGAATCAGACGACCACATACACAAACCTGCAAGCTTTGTGTTCCTGCATTTTGTACATAAAACTTTGTTCGGTCGTGTCGGGCGTGTCGTGGTTGACCTGTTTAATATGGGCTTCAAAGTCAGCATAGAATACATAGGGTACGGACATTTGATGTTTATGATTAATAAATGTTAGCATGTTTTTCGTTTCTTCGAGCATATCGATTCTGATCGCTGTCTCTCCCACACCTCGACAGTCCTCTCTGTGCGCTTCCAGCAGCTCTTCTCGACAGTACCCATGCAGACGTCGTTCGCATATATGTTTTGATTGGTCGTACAACAGTCGACTCAAACTTTTAATTGCGTTGTAGTGATACTTGCCCTCTTTTTAGATCAGAAATAAATTGATCCTGCGCACGGTTTTATCTTTTACAGGGCTTATCCTGTGCACGATAACCCTATTCCCCTCGTGTCTGAAGGGTTTTGTTTTTCCACTCGAGCGATTTGAGAGATGTGGATAGGCATGTCTATACCCATAAAGTCGAGGCCGGATTCCTCAATCGAGGGATAGCTGGAATATCTATCTGGATGATGGGTCGCTGGATACACGGCGGCTATGACCGCCAATGGCAAACAATCATTGCCTTTATTTTTAGGGTAAGTGATGTCCTCTTTATTCTTAAAGTACGGAGGCAAGGCTATGTAGGATCCAGCTTTGAACAGTATGTAGTATAATTTGTGTCGATAATACCCACCACCCATCCAGAGCCCATGTGGGTATAGTTTTCTAATGATTCTTGTATTTTTAGTAACAAGGTATATCGATCGTTGAAGGGATAGAGTCGGATTGAAGTATGACTTCCTGCTTGCCTCTGAAATAGGGCTCGACATACTCGGTACTACCATCCCTCTGCTGTTTGTTAAGCGACATTTTAATCATGAGCCGATATTTAATACTTTTATAATCGTCCAATTCCTGTTTGATCTTGCTGGCGATCAGGGGTTTAACGTCGTTGACATCGTTATTAGAGTGGACTGTCAGCCTCTGAGATACTTACCCATGGCATGCTTTGTCGGTACGAATTGCATTTCGACCGGCTCGGATTAAAGGTTAACATTTGGTCTTTTCCGATACGAGAATAATATTTCAGTCCGCGACTTTTCGCGAGAGCTTTGAGCTCTTTTACGGTGGGGGACTTGACATATTTAATGTCCAGCAAGGTCAGCAATTTGGCTTTCCTCATGCGAGAATAACCAACCACACCACGCTCCTCAGCCAATGCTTTCAGTTCTCTGACAGTAGCCATCATTTATTATATCCACATGCAAAGTCAAATGTCTAATTGATATATGTATGTAGGGGATTGTTTTTTTATTGGGACTTGAACTTGAATGAGTTGCTAGGCCAAGCAAGATGGCTGCCCAAACCAACAACGGAGCTCCGACCAAGAGCATCATTGCTAAGCCAAGCAAGATGGCTGCCCAACCTAACAACGGTGCTCCGACCAAGAACCCTGTTGCTAAGGCAGATGGCCGCCCAACCCAGCAATGGCGATTGGATCAGCCAAGCCTGATAAAGCGCTACAACAGTCAAACTCGACAGCATTTAGACTGGAGTTAGGTGTTGAATATTTTTCCATAATATGTCGGATATTTAGTGTACCAACTCAACTGTTGTTGTTGGATAAATGAGACTAAAAAACTAACTATATTAGTCAGCCTGCTGCTAGACTCAACAATCCGTTTATGTAGGAATGAAACAAAGCAAACTGTATTAGTCAGCCTGCTGCCAGAATTGAGCCACACTACTGTCTGTTACCAGCATACTATAAATTTCCTTCTTGCGTTGATAAATCTCCAAAAAGAAAAGACCCAGTGTCCTGAAACGAGTATATTTACCTAACAATTTCGAAAGTTCCCATAGTTTTCGGGCATAAGAGTGATGAATACCAACGTTTTCTTTAAGCCAGTCTTTCCATGTACTGCAGACTTTTATTTTGTCCATGCTGTGCATTTCACATGCCACATTAAGCCATTCCCCATAATCAAGGGAGGAAGATAATGAGCATGTATATTTCTTTGTCAACAAATCATAACCTGATTTGAGATTGTCGAACATTCCTTCCAGGCTTGTAAACACGCCCACCTCGGACACCTAGGGCAGCTGACTGGATTCGTTGTAATTAAATTCTTGACTAAATATGCACGAAGATCTTTGCCTGTTAGGATCT